ATAAAAAATACTTCAGTCCCTTTAATAAGCATCAGTATAAAGTATAAAATGGTTTCAAAAAAAAAAAAGACACGATACTTATCTTCACAGAGCTTATAGTCCAATTAAGTGGATTCTTGCATACTACTTAAGAATGTTAATGTGCCTATTAAGTAAATATCTAAGATCTATCTTTTTTCTTTGGGAGGCTATTTCCTTCACCTGGTCTATATAGTATTTTACAAAAAAGCTTTCATTCAAGAATTCTACACCCAGCAAAACTGCCCTTCAAAAATGAGGGCGAAATTCAGACATTCCCAGATAATCAAAAGCTGAGGGAATTCATCATTACCAGATCTTCCCTAAAAGAAATGTGAAAGGGAGTCTTCCAGTATGAAAGATAAGGACACTAGATAGTAACTCGAAGCTGTATGAAGAAATAAAGACTTTCAGTAAATCTAATTTCAAGGGCAAATATAAACGCATATTAAAAGGATTATATACTATGATCGAGTGGGATTTATCCCAGGAATGGAAGGGCAACTCAACCTAAAAAAAATCAATTAATGTAATACAGTATATCAATTTGTTCTTGTTGTTAGTTGTCCTTGAGTCAACTCTTGAAAACTCCATGTGAATGAAGGAAAAAAAATCACATGATCATTTCAACTGACACAGAAAATGCATTTGATAAAATTCAACAACTTTACACGATAAGCATACTCAGGAAACTAGGAATAGAAGGGAAATGATCATTTGATTTTTAAAACTATGCCGCTGGATTCAGTTGGCCAGTATTTTTTTTAACATTTTTGCATCTGTACTCATAAAAGATATTGGTTAGTGGTTTTGTTATGATGTCTTTGTCTGGCTTTGGTATCAGGGTAATGCTGGCCTCATAGAATCTTTCAGCCAAATTTTTCTCAAAGTTAATGCTGCCTCAAAAAGTACTGGGACACTTGACCAGATTTCTATTGGTACATACGTACGTTCTGTCTTCTGAACTAGGAGCTGAAAATGAGAGAGGAATTGAAGATTTTCCTACCTACAATCAGTTCAGTGAGCTTGTTTTATTTGTTAGCGAACAACTGTGTTTTTTGAAAATCACAGCCTTCCAGGTAGTGAAAATTTCTCCCAGTTTCTGTTTATAGGCATAACAATCAATCCTAACGTCTGGTAATATGAACATTTTTGTGGTTCTTCCCTCCTCCCCCCGCACCAGCAGCAACATATTGTGAAATTCTTGCTGTCAGCTGCTGTGAGTTGGCTTGACTCATGGCAACCTTATGTATACACTGTAGAACAATATGTTGCCAGGTTCGGCGCCATCTTCATAATCGTTGCTGTGTTTGAGTCCACTGTTGTGGCTATTGTGTCAATCCATCTCAGTGAGTTTTCCCTCATTCTCGCTGACTCTCTACGTTACCAATCATGATGTCTTTTTATAGTCACTGGTTTTCTTGAGGACACGTCCAACGTAAGTGAGCTGAAGTCTCGACATCCTCGCTTCTAAGAAGCATTCTGGTTATATTTCTTCTAAGACTGACTTGTTCATCCTTCTCGCAGTCTATGGTTTATAAAATGTTCTTTGCCAATACCTCAGTTCAAATGCTTCAATTCTTCTTTTGTCTTCCCTTTTCACTGTCCAGCTTTTGCATCCATGAGGCCAATGAAAATACCAGGGCCTGGGCCAGGTACACCTTAGTTATCAAAGTGACAACTTTGTTTTTTAAAAATTTAAAGAGGTCTTTTGCGGCAGATTTGTCCAATGCAATACGTCACTTTATTTCTTGATTGCCATTTCCATGAGCATTGATCACTGATCCATGTAAAGTAAAATCATAAGACAACTTCGATTTCTTCTTCATTTATCATGATGTTGTTTATCAGTCCAGTTGTGAAGATTTTTGTTTTCTTCACGTTCAGGTGTAATTCATACTAACGTTGTAATATACATATATATATATATATATAATATATTTTATATATATATATATATAAAACAACATTTGCCAATTCACTGAAGACTGTAGTCTTTGACCTTCATCAGTAAGTGTTTCAAGTCATCTTCATTTTCAGCAAAAAGTTGTGTCATCTCCATAATGCAGGTTGTTAATGAGTCTTCCTCCAATCCGGATGCTGTGTTCTTCAGCATATAGTTCATCTTGGATTATTTGCTCAGCCTATAGATTGAATAAGGTCAAAGGATACAACCCTGCCCCCACCTTTTCCAATTTTAAACCACACAGTATCCTCTTGTTCTGACTGCCTCTTGATCCATGTAGAGGTTCTGCATAAGCATAATTAAGAGTTCTGGAATTCCCATTCTTTGTAATGGTATCACTAATTTGTTATGATCCACATAGTCGAATGCCTTTGTGCAGTCAATAAAACACAAGTAAATATCTTTCTGCTTTTGGTCACGATCCATCTGACAATAGCAATGATATCTCTTGTTCTATGTTCTCTTCTGAATCTGGCTTGAATTTCTGGAAGTTTCCTGTCAATGTATGAAACTGATGTGAAATGGATTGAACATGCAATCAAGATGCTTTGATAATTACTGGTGATTGGAATGCAAAAGTTAGAAACAAAAAGGGAACAGTAGTTAGACAAGTAAAGTATTATGATGAAATGTACGGCTTGGTGATAGAAGTAATGCTGGAGATTCCATGATAGAAGTCTGCAAGACCAACAACTTATTCAACATTTTTTCTGAAAAAAACAAATGATGACTGTACACATGGACCACGCTGGAATGGATCACACAGCAATCAAATCAACTACATCTGTGGAAAGAGATGATGCAGAAGAGCTCAATATTATCAGTCAAGACAAAGTCAGGGGCTGACTGCAGAACAGACCAGTAAGTGCTCATGTGCAGGTTCAAGCTGAAGCTGAAGAAAATCAAAGCAAGTCCATGAGAGCCAAAATATGACCTTGAATACATCCTATCTAAATTCAGAGAACATTTCAAGAAAAGATTTGAGGCACTAAACACTAATGACCAAAGACCACAAGAGCTGTGGGAAGACATCAATGATATCAATGAAAGTGAAAGACATTAATGAAAGTGAAAGGCCATTAAAAAGACAGGAAAAAGGGAAAATACCAAAATGGATGTCAGGAAAGACCCTGAAACTTGCTCTTAAGCACAGAGTAGCTAAAGCAAACAAAAGAAATGGTAAAGTAAAAGAGCTGAACAGAAAGAAGACAAGTAAAGTATTATGAGGAAATGTACAAAAATCTGTAGTTAGAAAACCAAAAGGGAAGAACCATGATCATCAATTCTCAAGGTGAAAGAACTGCAAAGAAAATTCAAGCCTCGAATTGCATTACTGAAGGATCCTGGGGCAAAAAACTGAATGATGCAGGAAGCATCAAAGAAGATGTAAGAAATACATAGCTTCATGGTACCAAAAAGAACTGGTTGATGTTCAACCACTTCAGGAAGCAGCATATGATCAAGAACCAACGGTACTGAAAGAAGAAGTTCAAGGTGCACTTGAAGGGACTGGCAAAAAATAAAGGTCCAGGAACTGACAGAATACCAATTCAGATGCTTTAACAAACAGATGCAACACTGGAAATGCTTACTAGTACAGGTCAAGAAATTTGGAAGACAGCTACCAGGCCAACCAACTGAAAGAGATCCATATTTGTGTCCATTCCAAAGGAAGGTGATCCAACAGACTGCAGAAATTACTGAACAATATCATTAATATCACATGCAAGTAAAGTTTTGCTGAAGATCATTCAAAAGCGGCAGTAGTAGTACATTGCCAGGGAATTGCCAGAAATTCAAGACAGATTCAGAAGCAGATGTGCAACATGGGATATCACTGCTGATGTCAGATGGATCTTAGCTGAAAGCAGAAAATACCAGAAAGATATTTACCCACGTTTTATTGACTATGCAAAAGCATTTGATTGTGTGGATCATAACAAATTACAGATAACATTATAAAGAATGGGAATTCAGAACATGCAATTGTGTTCACGAGGAAGCTGTACACACATCAAGAGGCAGTCATTTGAACAGAACAAAGGGGTACTGCATGGTTTAAAGTCAGGAAAGGTGTGTGGCAGGGTTGTATCCTTTCACCATAATTATTCAATCTGTATGATGAGCAAACAAGCTGAGAAGCTGGACTATATGATGAAGAACGGGGCATCAGGACTGGAGGAAGATTCATTAACAACCTGCGATATGCAGATGATACTACCTTTCTTGCTGAAACTGAAGAGGACTTGAAGTACTTACTGATCTAACAACTTAATTAATTCCCCCCCAACCAAAAAAAAAAAAAAAAAATCACTGAAACACTAAAGGCATACTACGAACTGAGAAAAATCAGAAACCTCTGTTCCTAGATGGAGTCTACTAACCCAAACAACTGTCTGTACAATTTTATTCATCAAATAGTTATTAAATTTTAAGTGTACATAATCTATCTGATCAACTAACTCAAACTCATCCAAACTAGAGACTGAGGAATGAAAAGCTCTATATTTTGCTGATAGGAAATCTGGCATTGATTAAGGGTAATGACTGTACAATGTAATTACCGTAGTTTACGCAATTAATGCACACCTTCTGTGTTTGTTTGCCAGCCATGCTCTCCCCTCATGAGGTTATTTTCATAAGCGTGCTATGCTAGTTTTTTTTTTTTAAACAGCAACGTGTGGAAGAGGACTGGCATGGCAGTGCTTCTGAGGGTACCTAGCAGGGGGGAGGGTGGGGATGGCAAACAAATGCACAAGGCATGCCTTATTTGAGTAAAAATACAGTAATGTGACTGATATCACAAAGGAGTACACCTGAAAAGATGTTGAACTGGCGAATGTTACATATATTTTTATAACAATTAAAAAATAAAGAAATTATTTTAAAAAAAAAGCTTCATATTTCATTAACAGATTAAAATAACATCAAACTTTCACATGTCATTCCAAAATCAACCAGCCAATGCATAAATAAAATTTCAAATAATAAAGTTTGAATAATTTCTGCAAAATACCTGAGTGGGAGCTCTCAAGAGTGGTGTCTGATTTGGCATCTGGAAACTGAGGAATTTTTTCTAATTGGGGAACATAGTACATCTTTGTACTTCCAGAAGGCTTATATGGCAACAGTGAAGGCTGGGCTAAGGCAGTAAAGATCAAAACAAAACAAAAAAAATGTATTAGTTTATTGAACAAATACTGAGTGCCTACATGTGCCCTGAGATGTATCAGTGAATCAAACAGAAACGTATTTCTGCCTTCACGAGGAAATGGCATTCTCCTGGAGGGAGAAATACAGTAAACAATTAACATAATAAATAGATTATCTAGTAATTTAGTAATTCATAACTGTTATAAAAAAAAAGAACAATTAGAAAATGCTAAACAAGACTGGGAGTACTAGGGAAATTAGGGAAGGATGCAGTTTTCAATGGGGTGGTCAGGGTAGGTTTTATTGAGAAGATGAGTTTTTAGGAATTCATTCCATATGTAGATGACTTTAACTGAAAAACATCTTATATTGAACCAAAACCTGGTCACTGTTAACTACTAATATTGGTCTTAATTCTGTCCTCTAAGCCATAGAAAATAAGTCTAATTCTCTTTTGTGTGACAGATCTTCAAAACAAAGTTTCCTGATGTTTCCTTTATAAAAGTAATAAATTCTTGATATTAAGAAAATACATCAAATAAAAGAGACCAAGTTCTACCATTCAAAGATAACTATGATTATTTTAATACATTTCTTTTCAGTTTTTTTCCTGTTTCTTGTTTACATAGCTGTCTGCATATACTATGTATAATATGGACATCAGTATTTCTGCTCTACATTTATAATAAAAAAATTATTTCCTATTCTTCACATTTTTTATATGGCTATATACCACGCATTAACTGAACATACTTAACCCTTCTCCCAATGTTCAAAATTTAGGATGAGCTCAAATTTTCAATTATAAAGAATTCTGTACATAAAAATTTTCTTTAGAGTATAACCACTTTCCCCTCCGCCACCTTATTTCAGGTAAATTCTGATTACAGAGTGAAAAATTATACCATTTACAAAGCTGTTATTTTTTTTTAATGCTAACTGCTAAAATGCTTTCTAAAATGCCTGTTCCAATTTACCCTTCCTTCCAACAGTACAATTATAGTCTCTTTAAAAAAAAAAAAATTCCTTGTTAATGGAGGTAAATGGAATCTCATTGTTTAATTTTATACCTATTTCAGTTTTACAGAGATTGAACCTTTTTCTATATACTTGTTAATCATATATGTTGCTGTTTTTGTAAATCATCTGTTTATGTCCTTTGCCCATTTAAGGGCATACTGGAATACTGGTATTTTTCTTTCATGGTGTGGCGGAAACTGCTAAATGTCCCCTGGTTTCAGAAATTCCTCAAAATAATTAAGGGCATTTATACAAAGCCAAGAGCCAACATCATCCTAAATGGAGAGAGTCTGAAAGCACCCCCTTGAGAATGCGAACCAGACGATGATGGCCTTTATCACCAGTCTTATTCAACATTGTGCTGGAGGTCCTAGACACAGCAGTTAGGCTAGAAAAAGAAATAAAGGGCATCCAAATTGGTAAGGAAGAAATCAACGTTTATCTCTATTTGCAGATGATATGATCTTATACTCAGAAAACCCCAAAGAATCCACAAGAAAACTACTGGAACTAACAGAAGCTTTCAGCAAAGTATCAGGATACAAGATAAACATACATAAGTCTGTTAGATTCCTCTACACCAAGAAAGAGACCTTCGAAGAGGAAATCACCAAATCAATACCATTTACAATAGCCCCCAAGAAGATAAAACACTTAGGAATAAATCTAACCAGAGATGTAAAAGACCTATACAAATAAAACTACAAGACACTACTGCAAGAAATCAAGAGAGACCTACATAAGTGGATAAACATACCTTGCTCATGGATAGGAAGATACCAAAGAAGACATTCAGGCAGCTAACAGACACATGAGGAAATGCTCACAATCATTAGCCACTAGAGAAATGAAAATCAAAACTACAATGAGATACCATCTCATCCCAACAAGGCTAGCATTAATCCAAAAAACACTATATAGTAAAAATGTTGGAGAGGGTGTGGAGAAACTGGAACACTTACACACTGTTGGTGGAAATGTAAAATGGTACAATCATTTTGGAAATTGATTCAGCACTTCCTTAAAAAGCTAGAAATAGAAGTACCATATGATCCAGCAATCCCACTCCTTGGAACATATCCTAGAGAAATAAGAGCCGACACCTGAATTGATATATGCACACCCATGTTCACTGCAGCACTGTTCACAATAGCAAAAAGATGGAAACAACCGAGGAGCCCATCAATGGACAAGTGGACAAACAAATTATAGTATATTCACACAATGGAATACTACGCAATGATAAAGAACAACAATGGATCTGTGAAACATCTCATAACATCGATGAATCTGGAAGGCATTATGCTGAGTGAATTTAGTCAGTCACAAAAGGACAAATATTGTATGAAACCACTATTACAAAAACTCAAGGAAAGGTATAAACACAGAAGAAAATATTCTTTGATGGTTACAGGGATGGGGAGGGAGGGAGAAGGGTATTCACTAACTAGATAGTAGACAAGAATTATCTTAGGTGAAGGGAAGGACAACACATAATCCAGGGGAAGACAGCACAACCAGATTAAACTAAAACCTAAGAAGTTTCCTGAATACAACTAAACACTTCAAGGGACAGAGTAGCAGGGGCAGGGGCAGGGGTATGGGGACCATGGTTTCAGGGACATCTAGATCAACTGGAACAATAAAGTTTAAGAAAATGTTCTGCACCCCACTTTGGTGAGTCGCATCTGGGGTCTTAAAAGCTAGTGAGCGGCCACGTAAGATGCATCAACTGGTCCCAACCCACCTGGAGCAAAGGAGAATGAATAACACCAGAGACACAAGGAAAATATTAGCCTAAGAGACAGAAAGGGCCACATAAACCAGAGACTCCATCAGCCTGAGACCAGAAGAACTACATTGTGCCTGGCTACCATCAATGGCCACCCTGACAGGGAACACAACAGAAAGTCCCTGACGGAGCTGGAGAAAAGTGGGGTGCAGAACTCAAATTCTAGTAAAAAGACCAGACTTTAATGGTTTGCCTGAGACTGGAGGGACCCCAGAAGACATGGCCCCTGGACTCTCTGTTAGGCCAAACTAAAACCATTCCTGAGGTCAGCTCTTCAGACAAAGATTGGAATGGACTATAAAACATAAAAAGATACTTGTAAAGAGTGTGCCTCTTAGCTGAAGTAGATACGTTAGACTAAATGGGCAGCTCCTGTCCGGAGGCAAGACAAGAAGGCAGAAAGGGACAGGAGCTGGTTGAATGGACATGGGAAATCCGGGGTGGAAAGGAGAAGTGTGCTGTCACATTATAGGCAGAGCAGCTAGGGTCACATAACAATGTGTGTATAAATTTGTGTATGAGAAACTAACTTGAACTGTAAACCTTCACTTAAAGCACAACACAAACAAAAAAAATTAAAATTTACGGAAAATGTCGCAGGTTTCCTTTTTTTCCCCTTTCTTCTATTAGTAACAGAACTTCATGATAGTCAGCTGGGCACACAGCCACGTACTAATGTACTTTATTTTCTAACCTCCCTCGAAGTCATATATGGACATGTGATTAAGTTTATGCCCATGGGATGAGAGTGAGAAAAATGGGTGCAAGTTCCACAAATCCCATAAAAGCCCTTCACTTCCTACAGATTGCAGATTATGGCCGCTGTAGCAGCCACTCTGGACCCAGAGACAAAAGTCACATTGTAAGGATACCAGAGCTGCCAGACATGAAGCAGAGCTAACTGCCCTAGACCACTGACCTGTGTTTTGGAAGTTCTGCAATAAAACAGCTTATCATTTTTTCCAATACACACTCAGTAAGCCATCAGTCAGTTTATTTTAAATCCACTGAAGCTACCTACCACTTACTACCTATGTGACCTTGAACAAATCACCCCTTTTTTGGCCTCATTTTCCTCACCTACAAAATGGGCATCATAATAGATACCCACCTCATAAGGTTGTTATGAAAATTTAAGTGGATTAAACAACATATCGTGTATCAAAAAAAAATTCTGATGTGTTTAGAGATAAAGTGCTCAGTTCTTCCAATTTCCCTCTTGCCTAATAAGTAACAAGTTTAGTCAAATAGCACTTATTATGTAATTCTTATTTTTCTCATTGTGATACCTCCTTTATTACTCATTAAACTCACGTAAAACAGGGTTCATGTCTTTGCTTTCCACTCTATTCCACTGAAAGGTTTATATATGTTTAGGCTAGTACTACACTTTAAATTTGGCTGCTGCTAAAATAGTTCTCTTTTTTTTCCAAATTAATTTTGTTATTCTTCCTGATAAACTTTAAAATCAACTAAACAAGTGTAAAAGAACAATTCCATTAGAATTTTGAGGAGAATTATGTTAGAACATAAATTAACTGGGAAATAAATAAAAGATTTACAACAGCCAGTCTTCCCATTTAGAAACATACTCTTCTCTCAATTTCAACCTCCTTTCAAAAAGTGTCCCCCCTTTTCTATCTCTAAACAAAAGATTTGCATTTCCTTCATAAGCTACCCCATGCACAACAGAACAAAACACTGCCGGCTTCTGTGTCACCCTCATGATCAGTTGTGGATCGAATCATTGTGATCCACAGGGTTACTTCATGTAGGTGTTATAAATTCTAGTTGAGGTTATTCCTGAATATTTTATAGGGTCGTATTATTCATATGAATAGAATTTTGAAGACAGTTATTATCATTTCTCCTGGTTAAACCTTTCCAGCTCCTTCAGTTTATCCTTACAGACCATCGTTTTCTCTCACAGCCTGTCACCCTTTCTAGATGGACTCCTAGCTATCCATGTCTAGTTTATAAAAATCGAAGTACTCTAGGTAGGTCTGATGGTCCCTAAGTAGAATGAAGCCTCCTTCATTCTAGACACAGTAACAGCTTTTATATCACTAAGAATCATGCTGTCAACTTTGACAGCTCCATCAAGGTAATGGACTCCACATTATTAGTAAGGACCCTGCTTCCAACCAAGGAACCTGCTTCATAGTGAAGGAATGAGACAAAACGCTGATGCCTAGAAGGATTCACTGTTCTTAGTGTATGTCTTCTCATTCTCAAGTATGTTAAGCCTAAAAAAAAAAAAAAAAAGTGAGTGATTGACTAAAAACTGTTATGGCACAAGCTGGGGAGTACCATTTTCTAAGCCTGGAATGCTATTTTATGGGTTATGCTTTGAATCATATATGGTACTTGCCTATCCCACAGACAGAATGTATATATTCGGGAACAAAAGTAGAGGCCTTTTAAAAATCTTTTTAGAAATAAGAGAGGGACATTTTCAACAGCAGACAGGAGCCATCTAGCCATTTTACATTCCTTATGTCATTAAAGCAATACATGGAAAAGGATGCCATCATGCTCACTGGAACTATGATTGACCTGAACTATCAGGGAGAAATGTTGTTGTTACATGCTGTTGAGTTGATCCCGACTCATAGCGACCTATAGGACAGAGTAGAACTGCTCCATGGGGTTTCCCAGGCTATAATCTTTATGGGAGATTGCCGGGTCTTTTCTCCCATGGAGCAGCTGGTAGGTTCAAAGTGCCAACCTTTCAGTTAGCAGCTGACTGCTTAACCATTGTGCCACCAGGGATCCTTATATCAGGGAGAAATAAGGTTATCTTAATAAAAAGATGTCAGTAGGGGTATGGCTAGCACCTAGGGAACCACCTTACCATGCCTGGTGATAGAAGTTAATAAAAAGTTACCTTAAACTTATACATGCAGGGCTAGTAAGGTCTCAGACTATTTAGCAATATTTGTGCCACTCCATCAGGCAAAAAAAACCCTAGGCAATGAAAACAATGGTTGAAGGGGAACAAAAAATCTGTAGAGGAAGGAAGAACTTAAAGAAAAAGGCCGTAGTCCCCACTTCTATTTAGTCATTACTGTAGTTGTTATTGTTAGATTATAAATGTATTAATTTTATTCCTCCACCACTATATATAAAATTTGGTAGTTGTGATGGTTAGTTTTATGTGTTGACTTGGCTAGGCTATGTTGTTGTTGCTGTGTGCTGTCTAGTCGATTCCGACTCATAGTGACCCTAAAGGACAGAGCAGAACTGCCCCACATGGTTTCCAAGGAGCAGCTGGTAGATTCGAACTGCCCATCTCTTGCCAAAGCTCTCAACCACTGTGCCACTAGGGCTCTAGTGGGTACACAGTCATGTATTTAATATATTAAATTCTTTGCACTTTAAAATATTCTCATATGAAAAAAGAGCTGTGCTAAATGTTACTTTTGACCAATAGTATCAAAACTATTAAAATTATTATTAGTAACAGTATTAAAAATAATACCATATTTAGTAAATATTAATCTTTATTAGTATTTAAAGAAGTGCCTGTACGTAAAGTCTATATAGCCTGACTCATCTGATGTGAGCAGAGGTTTAAAATATGTTTTTGGAGTTAGGTTAGCCACTGCAACAGCTGACACATAAAGGTGTTCTTTGTGATAATTTATTTAACTGTATGTTTTTGTTTTGTATACTTTTATTTTACAATAAAAATGCTTTAAAAAGTATAACCATCCTACCTTAACATATAAATGTACTTATTTAAATTAAATTCAATGTACCTTAAAACATGAACAAAGCAATTTTCTTTCATTTAGACATACTCCATCGATATCTGCAAATGGATGTGTTTTGCATAAGTAGGAAAACTTAAAATACACTTTGAATAGATTATACAGTGTGTGTGTATACATATACGTATATATATATATGTTACATAGTATAAGCAGTATCAAAATAGCATTGAAATTATAGCATTTAACACTCTCAAATGTAGACTTTATAGCAGAGACCGCTAGCTGTTCACCAAAATCTATTTCTCCTTCTTCCTGGAAAACACAGCTAAACTACATTCCTAGCCAGTGGAAAGTGATCTGGGCTACTCTCAGGCCTGGCTCATAAAAACCTCCCACATGCATACTTTTATGCTCTTTGTCCCTTCCACTTGACTGGGACAGTGAATCCAAGGTAACTTTGGGTGGGTTCCACATTTTGAAGACAGCAGAGTCATAGTCACTTTTGGTCCCTGGCGATTGTTTCACAAGCAAGAAATAGCAAACTGCTGTTGTGTTTGCACTATTATGTATTTCTGCATTTATGTATTACAGCACCTAACATTACTAAAATACAAAACCAAAAACCAAAGCTGTTGCCGTCGAGTTGATTCTGACTCATAGCAACCCTACAGGACAGAGGAGAATTGCCCCACAGGGTTTCCGAGGAGCGGCTGGTGAATTTGAACTGCCAACCTTTTGGTTAGCAGCTGAGCTCTTAACCACTGAACCACCAGGAATATAATACAAGATGTCACTATTCATCTGCACACTTAAAAGCAGACCTCTATAGTTTTTAATTTTTATGAACTTGAATTATCACAAGTATCATGAGATGAAAATACAGTGTTAACCACAAGAAATATAAGTTCTACATATGTTGTTAAATCTGGTAGAAATATAATAAATCATACTTGACAGTGAAACATAATTAAGATATAAACATAATAAATTATACTTTCTTTATAGCTATATAAATAAGAGATGCATATAATTATGGTAGATCCTAATGTTTAAATTACAATTTGGTCTTCTGACTAGAAAGCCATAGTTACATAATAAATCACAAATTTCTGAGATAGTTACAAATGAAGCTGGCATTCTGAACTAAAATGCAATCACATTCTCTTACCTTCTGTGCCACGAGAAGTAGTAATCTGTTGGACTGAAGATGATGAAGCAAACCTGATGGGAACTTTGTATACCTGCTGGGGATGGGACTCTGGAATTTTACGTTCACGATCTTCAGTATTAATAAAAATCTCAGATGAAAACGAAGTCTTTTCTGGACTTTCTGTTGTTATCTGAGTGACAGCATCTGATGATAATTTTTCAGGGAAGGCAGAAAATGGAGTCACAATCTCCTCTGGTGGTCTAAGCAACAGAGATAGGAAACAGCAAGTTATATCCTTTGCCTATCAAATACCAAAACTTCTTTCCACAAGTGGCTTCAAGGAATATTTAAGTAGCTATAAAAAATATTCAATGAAATTACAGCAACCTCAAAAGCTTAAGGTACTTCCGAAGTACCTTTTGCTTTTTCACATACTTAATGTACTTGGAACTTGTATGAATTTGTTTTTATTTATTTTAAAACCTTTTAATTTCAAATTATAGTGCTACTACATAATTTAGCTGTGGAAAGGGTACTTTTCAGTTGAAGTAAAAATATAGTCATTTAGTCTTTTTAATTACTGCAAGTCTACTATGAATTAAGGGACTATGCTAAATGTTTAGAGCATACAAAGATAAACAAGAAACACAGCCCTTCCTGCAAGGAGTTTCTAACCCAATAGGGGAATCAGAGGCTTCCAAGGTTGTAAACATGTATTAGGATTATAGCAAATTTATATCAAAACAGAATGGGATAAATAATTGAATAAACAAATAGAGAAAAAAGACAAATCTTCCTTGCAAAAGAATTCGAAATAATGTATGCAGATACCCCCTCCTCTTCAGGAGGTGAACTTAACCCACTCAGCATGCCCTGAGTAATGGGTTGAACTCAAGGACTGGATTCCAAAGAACAGAGTATAAAAAGGGAAAAATTGTTAACTTTACAATGGAGAATACTGGCAAACACTGCCTTACCTATGTGATCAAAGTTAACATCACCAGTGATGACATATAGATATCATGTACATTCTGCTATAATGTAATGAAAACAGTACTTCATTTCTGTGGTACTCTTTTCAAAACCCATAATCCCAGTCTCATCATGGAAAAAAACAAAAAAACACCAGACAAACTCTAACTGAGGGATGTTCTATAAGACACCTGAGCGGTATTCTTCAAAACTATCAATTCATGAAAAACAAGGAAAGAATGAGAAACTGTCATAGATGAGAGGAGACTAAGAAAACCTGACAACTAAAGATTAGTCCAAAGGACTAACGGACCACAACTACCACAGCCTCCACCAGACGGAGTCCAGCACAACTAGATGGTGCCCAGCTACCACCACCGACTGCTCTGACAAGGATCACAATAGAGGGCCCCAGACAGAGCTGGAGAAAAATGTACAACAAAATTCTAACTCACAAAAAAAGACCAGACTTACTGGCCTGACAGAGACTAGAGAAACCCTGTGAGTATGGCCCCCAGACACCCTTTTAGCTCAGTAATGAAGTCACTCCTGAGATTCACCCTTCAGCCAAAGATCAGACAGGCACATAAAACAAAACAAGTCTAAAGGGGCACACCAGCCCAGGGGCAAGGACTAGAAGGCAGGAGGGGACAGGAAAGCTGGTGATCGGGAACCCCAGGTCAAGAAGGGAGAGTGATGACATGTCGTAGAGTTGGTAACCAACGTCACAAAATAATATGTGTACTAATTGTTTAATGAGAAGCTAGTTTGTTCCGTAAACCTTCATGTAAACTATAAGAATAAAAAAAAAAAAGAAAGGAAAGAAAACCTGACAACTAAATGCAATGTAATATCCTGGATTGGGTTCTGGAATAGAAAAAGGACATGAATGGAAAACCTGGTAAAATTCAAATAAAGTCTAGAGTTTAGTTAACAAACCAAACCTGTATGAGGTTAGTTAACAACAAAGTACAAATGTTGGTTTCTTAATTTTGACAAATGTACCACGGTAATGTAAGATGTTAACAATAGGAAGAACCGGGTAAGGGAGAAATGGGAACTCTCTATAATGTCTTTAACTTTTTTATCAATCTAAAATTATTTTTAAAAGTTTACTTTTTAAAAATGGAGTAATATTGTATTGTTCTGGAGTCATATCTGCATTATAAAAACAGAACTTCTGAATCTCTACCCTCTGCCTACTTTTCACTGGTTAAAAATGACAATTATGAGAAAAGGCCAATCCCACTTGTGAACATACATGCAAAAATCCTAAACAAAATGTTACCAAACCAAACCCAGTACATACACATGCAAGCTTGCTTGCTCTCTCTCACTGTACACATAAACATGTATGTGTGTGTATGTGTGTACCCCTATCAAGATGACTTACCCCAAGAGTATAAGGTTAGTTAACATACAAAAGTCAACTAACACTACCACCAAATGCTAGTGAGGATGTAGAGCAATAGGAACTTTCGTTCACTACTGGTGGGAATGCACAACGCCACAGTCACTTTGGATGACAGTCTAGGAGTTTCTTAGAAAGCTAAGCACAGGTTTACCATATAATTAAGCAAAGGTACTCCGAGGTACTTACCCAAATGAACTGAAAACTCATGTCCACATAAAAACCTGCACATAAATTTTTATAGCAGCTTTATTTGTAATTGCCCAAAATTGGAAGCAACTGAGATGTTCTTCAATAGGTGAGTGGATAAACAAATTGTGGTACACCCATTCAAAGGAGTATTAGTCCATGATAAAAAGAAATGAGTTATCAAGCAACAAAAAGACATGCAGGAACCTTAAATGCATATTACCAAATGAAAGAAACCAGTCTGAAAAAGACACATACTGTATGATTCCACCCATATGAAATTTTGGAAAAGGAAAAACTAGACAGTAAAAAGATAGTGGCTGTCAGGGTTTCAAGGGGAGAAGGGAAGGGATGAATAGGTGAAGCACAGGGCATTTTAAGGACAGTGAAACCATTCTGCATGATACTGTAATGTTAGATAGAAGACATTACCCATAAAACTGTACAACATAAAGAGTGAGCCCTAATATAATGATGAACTTTAGTTAATAATAATGAACCAAAACCTAAAACTATAAAGATCATGGAAGAAAAAACAGGGTCACACTAGGGGTGTAATATATGGCATAAACAGGACACAAACCAGAACTAACAATACACAAAACCAAAAGATAAACTAGATAACTGGGATCTCCTAAAAATTAAGCACTTATGATTATCAAAAGACTTCACCAAAACATAAAAAGAGAACAGACTGGGAAAAAAATTCTGGCTACAACATAGCCAACAAGGGTCTAATGTCTAAAATTTATAAGATACTGCAACACCTCAATAACAAAATGAAAAATAATCCAATTAAAAAATGGGCAAAGGATATGAACAGACACTTCACCAAAGAAGACATTCAGGGGCTAACGGACACATGAGGAAATGCTCGAGATCACTAGCCATTAGAGAATTGTAAATCAAAACTATAGTGAGATACCACCTCACCCCAACATTACTGGCATGAATCAAAAAAAAAAAACCAGAAAAAATGTTGGAGAGGTTGTGGGGAGACTGGAACTCTTATACACTGCTGGCGGGAATGTAAAATGGTACAATTGCTATGGAAAATGGTATGGCGCTTCCTTAAAAAGCTAGAAATAGAAATACCATATGATCCACCAATCCCACTCCTAGGAATATATCCTAGAGAAATAAGTGCTGTGACAAAAACAGACATATGCACACCCAGGTTCAATGCAGCATTATTCACAATAGCAAAAAGATGAAAACAAACCAAGCGCCCATCAACAGATGAATGAACAAATCACGGTACATACACACTATGGAATATTACACAACAATAAAGAACAAGATGAGTTCTCAAAACATCTCACAACATGGATGAATCTACAGGGCATTATGCTGAGGGAAATAAGTCAATCACAAAAGCACAAATACTGCATGAGACCACTATTATAAAAACTCAAGAGAAGGTTTACACACAGAAAGAAACAATCTTTGATGGTTAAGAGGAAGGGAAGGGTAGAGAGGGGGAATCACTAACTAGATAGTAGATAAGTGGAAACTTTGGTGAAGGAAAAGACAGTACACAATACAGGGGAAGCCAGCACAACTTGACCAAGACAAAGTCATAGAAGCTTCATAGACACATTCGAACTCCCCGAGGGACCGGGTTACTGGGCTGAGGGGTTGGGAACAAGGTCTCAGGGGACATCTAGGTCAACTGGCATAACATAGTTCATAAAGAAAATGTTCTACATCCGACTTTGGTGAGTAGCATCTGAGGTCATAAGAGCTTGTGAGTGGCCATTTAAGATACATCTACTGATCCCATTCCATCAGGAGCAAAGGAGAATGAAGAAAACCAAAGACACAATGGAAATATTAGTCCAAAGGAAAAATGGACTACATGAACCAGAGTCTCCATCAGCCTGAGCCCAGAACTAGATGGTGCCCAGCTCCCGCCAACGACCACTCTGACAGGGATTATGACAGAAGGTCCAAGACAGAGCAGGAGAAAAATGCAGAACAAAATTCAAATACACACACACACAAAAGACCACACTTACTGGTCTGACAGAGACTAGAGGTACCCCGAAACTATGGCTACCGGATACCCTTTTAACTCAGAATTGAAGTCACTCCTGAAGTTCACCCTTCCACTAAAGATAAGCCCATTGCCATGTGTTGATTCTGACTCATAGTGAAACTATGTGACAGAGTACAACTGGCCCATAGGGTTTCCAAGGAATGGCTGGTGGATTCGAACTGCTGACCTTTTGGTTAGCAGCCATACCTCTTAGACAGGTCTAGAAAACAAACAATAACACATGTGAGGAACATGCTTCATAGTTCAATCATGTTGTTGTTAGCAACCCTATGTATTACAGAATGAAACACTGCCCAGGCCTTCGTCATCCTCACAACTGTTGCTGTTTGAGCCCACTGCTGCAGCCACTGTGTCAATCCATCTCATCAAGGATCTTCTTCTTTTTTGATGACCCTCTACCTTACCAAGTATGATGGCCTTCTCCAGGGACTGGTCCTTCCTGATAACATGTCCAAGTCTCACCATCTTCTCTTCCAAAGAGAACTCCAGTTGTACTTGTTCCAAGACAGACTTATTCATTCTTCTGGTAGTCCATGGTATATTCAATATTCTCCACCAACACCGTAATTCAAAGGCATCAATTCTTCTTTGGTCTTCCTTACTCATTTGTCCAGTTTTCACATTCATAT